ATTTCAGCTTATTTAAATGCTCTGAGATCTGGTTTTGCCTGGAGAAATTGGGAGAGTGTGTATTTACTTGTATTATAAAATGTTCATTTTAAACATACATGCTCCAGACTGTTTAATATTTTATTTTTTTCCCTGCAGCAACCATCACAGCAAACAACTTCCACAACTGGAAAAAACCCTTAGCACTTGTTTTTATGGTTCAGATTTGCCAACTAAGTCTCATAACTCTGTCAGTGCTATCCAATTATCTGTTTCTTTATATCTGCATTGAATATCATACGCATTTGTGCCAAAATATTAGAAGGGGGAGGGGAGAAAGTGGTAATCAGTTTCCTATGGAAATCTTTTGTTTGTTTGTTTTCTTTTTTTTTTTCATATACGAGAGCCAAACACGCAAGGTAGATCTGGCTCCGGGAAGGCCAGGCTCGCATGGACTTTGCAGCGGGTTGTGTCAAGGCTTTAATCCTGCAAACTTCCGTGCTCCCAGATGCGGGCGCGAGCGGCCCCACCGAGTTCAGTGGAAGTTTCCCTGCGTGCCGGGTCGAGGTTTGCAGCTTCGGGGCGCCCTGGTCCCGCAGTGGGGTACTGGCTTGCCGTAGCATTTCAGACACTTACCAGGAATTTCCGTGTACCTGCCTATCTGTAGGGAGAGGCTTTTCCGAAGTGCTTGTTCCTTTGAGACCGCTCTGTTTGTCAAGCCCACCACTTGGTTGGCCAAAAAACCCAACGCTTCTGGACCCGAGGCGTCGGCAAGACAAGGGTACGAGGCGGCCCTTGTTGGGTGGACACAGGAGCGGATGATCCGAGAGGCTCATTGCCAGTGTTTCTCTCACCAGGCAAATGAAGGGATGCTTTGGAGGAGAGTTTTCTTCCAGAAGCAAGAAATGACATTTTGACCATGAAATTTAAATTCTGAGGAAGACCTTCGGTGGTGGTTGTGTTCCTGAATGATACAGGCACTTCTGAATGTCCTCTTGCAGAATTTTGACTGGAGCGGTCACTGTGCAACACGGGTCGTATCAGCGCTGGAGGTTTTCTAGGATCTTTGATTATTATTTTTAATTCTTAGTTTTTGCAGTGTGTCTGATTTTAGTTCAATCTCTGATTGCATGGACTTGTGCAATAAGAGCATCTGGATAAAGTCGTATTTTCTAGCCACTGAAAAAAGTGGGTCTTGTCTGTCACTGTGGATTGATTTGGCGTATGCTTTCAGATACAGGTTTCTAACGCGGTTGCAAGCAAAAATTTATCCTGATTTTTGTGGAAGTATTTGACTTAGTGTTTTAGTGAGAGGGAAAAAAATTCTGCTTTGTAAAATGGCCCCAGGTTTCCTCCCCGAGTGTCTTTAAATCACATTTGCCTATTTTAGTGAGCAAACTTTTGGTTGTCTGTATAATCTTGGAGGAAGTTGGACTCGGTGGTGCCTTGTGCATTAGCAACAGCAATGACACCTGAAATTCCGGTGCCGGAGAGTTGGTCACACGTGACGTGACCCCGCGGCCACGAGCTGGAATAAACCCCAACTTAAAGACGAAGAATCGCCGCCTCAGCCAAACAAAGAATTGGCCCTGGATTTCTGCTATCAACCAGATTTGTATCTTCTCCCCGATGAAGGATGATGACTTGCTAGCCGTTGTCAGCAGAGGCCTTTTGAAAAAGAGGATTCAGGTGGTGCATAAAAAAACGTGGTGAATCTCATGTCGTCATCCCTTAAGTAAAACGACTTCGAATGGAGAGTGTAAGCTGGTCTAGCAGTACAGTTAGATTAAGTTGAGGAGATTATTTCCACTCAAGTATTCATTTCCTCTCCTCCCCTTTCTTTTGCCTTCTCACTAATTGAGAAAAGCTTTTAAGGTTTCTAAAGTTACCCTATACAGTCAAATGGAAACTCCTGTGCCGTGCAGCCCATGAAAAGGTGAAGGTTGGGGAAGGGGGGCGATCCAAGGGGCGTTACGGCGCCGTTTCCTTTTACGCCGCGCGGTTGGCGTGGATCGTGCAGCTGGCAGCGGATTCCCCGTCAGATCTGGAACGCGCCTCCCGACGCCGCTCAGGCGGACACTAACGAACGACGGGGACGAGGTCGCGTTGGGCTGCAGGTTGTTGTAGGCAGCCGTGCCCCAGAGGCGCACGTGGCTCCTTCTTGGTTTCACTTTTTTCTCAAACTTTATTGAGTAGCTTTGGTATGTAGCACAAATGTATGCGACCGACCGCGCCCTAGCTTGGATTACGTATCCGTACTGGAATATCTGCTCATTTAACGGTAGTCTGGGCTAGTTTGACCCGGATCTCAGACATTTTTGTTACTAGTTCAGAGTCACTAGCAGGAACTTTGACTCTTTTTAATTGGTGTAGCCATACACAAGGGCCTGGCTGCTGGCAGATGATTTTGATGGCCTTGTGGTTTTAAAAGGATATTGTGATTTTTTTTTTTTTTTTTTTTTTTTTTTTTTTTTTTTATTTTTACTATTATTATTAATGTATTGAACTGAATTGCAGTTTGTATTTTGTGTTAAGCTTGTCTTAGAAGTAATCCAGTGCTGTCCGTTTGATTTCCATATGCACAAAGATGGAGAAATCGAATCGTAAGGGATTTCCCCAAAGCTCTGGCTACCCATACACGCCAGGAAAAGGCTGGGGGGTGGCCCTTGAGAAAGAGTTAAAACAAATTAGTTTCCTCTCCCGCTAAGGACCAGCCTAGTTTGAACCACCCAGAGGGACTCCTTTGCGGGGTGAAGAACGTTCAGGACTCCCATCTCGAGCAGCAAGGATTGACCTCCGTGCCTTGTGCTCCTTTCCTAACTGGAAAAGCACAAGGAGCAAGAACAGCTCAGTGAAGGACTTCAGCCGTATCGCAAACGATCCGCGAGCTTTCCTAGTTCTCTAAGGTACTGGATAGGTAGGAGGAATGGGATTTCACAAATAAGCTGGTAAGCTAGAATGAGAAATAATTAGTCGCTATAGGGTAGTTGATGGAGCGGTATGGTTACGAAATTCCGTGTATGTTTTTTGTTATGTTCATGCTTTTGTATTTATGTTGTTTTTCTTGAATACTCAGATGAATCAAATATTTAATTTTTAACAGAAAGGGCAATTAAGGATTCAGAGTATTAAGTCTTTCCTATGTTCCTTTCTGGCGATTGCTAGAAATTAGGCAGTTACTGATGTGAGAGCATGAGACTCGCCTTAGGACCGAGCAACAAACCCTGGCGAATAAAACCGAACACGGACTTCTCCGGCAGGAGCCGTTGCCCGAGTTGCTGCTCCATCCTTCAGCAACAAGTCAGGTTCCCGGCTGGGCCCTTGGATTGCGCTCTTCGGATTCACGAGGCTTTAAAAAGAAAACAACATCCTACTCCGTAAGTGTTTTGGTTCATCTTCCGTTTCCTCCGGTACGTGGACGCTGGAGGAGCCTGCGCCAGTCCCTGCTGCTGAGGTGCATCCAGTTCGCTCTCCCAACGGAGGCACCTACGTTCCTCACGCTAGACCGAAGCGTTCCCCTTCCATCGATATGTATGAGCATGTTCGCATTAGTGTTTAGCTTTTTCTTAACCTGAGATTGTATGCTAACGACCGGTGGCGTCACCTACCCGCTTTAGCTTGTTAAGCATTATTCACCTATTTTGTTACTAAAGGCCTGTACTACGTATGCCCTCTTATTTCATACGTGAAACTGTAAGTTCTATTTTTGACATTTTAATAAACTTTGATTTGAAAACTGAGGCTCGTGAGAAAATAAGGGTATTGTAAAAATGTATTTAAGGACATGAACCGAAAGCATTTGGAGTTCTGAAACCACAACGGCATCCTTAGCTCTGTATAATAAGGTTGTTCCCAGTAATTCGCACGAGATCCCCGTTGCAGGTAAGATCTTCATTATTTTTACAGTTGGGACAGTTTTGTACAAGATTTTAAAGCCAGATATAAAAAATAATTTGAAAATTCCAACTCATGCTTTTAACCAACGGGATTTAAAGGTGAGTAGAAGCGGAGCGCTGGAAGGATTTATTGTTGAACTGCTGGAAAAGTTGGACGTAGCTGAAGATTCACTCTTTGCCCGGCCTGCTAAACTGTGGCTGCATTTTCACCTTAGGGCGGTGAATCGGGAAATGCAGGAGCTGCAGCGGCGCGGCTACTGCTCTGTCCTCGGTGCCCAGTCCTGAGGCAGGCCCGAAGACACCTCTGGTGGCCCCATGTTGAGGAATTGTATCTTGTTTTTTAAGTCCTGTGCTGCCGTCGCGGGTTTGGCCGCTCTGTTGTTTGCTCTTGCAGAACAGAGGCAGGCAGGTGGCTGGGCACAAACGTCGTCCCCGGTCCGAAGCGCTGGTGACGAGGTGTTAAGTAGTCGACGCTCTCGGAACGGCCCGCGTCCCGCTCCAGCTCGGTAGCGTTCATCCCATCAGTGGGTGCTGACCGAAAGGGATGACTTCTCTCAGACCTGGTTTCAGAGTGCCCCGCTGTTCCTACCAGATCACAGAAGTGATGGTTGGAGGAGCCTACTGGAGGCCTCTAGTCCAGCCTCGTGCTTGATCCAGGACTCTTGCCAACACTAGATCAGGTCAGCGGGGCTTTTGTCCAGATAAATCTTGAAGAAAAATCTTAAAAAAACAGAGATTCTACCCACCTCCTCCAGAGATACGCTGTTCCCTGGCTGCGCTATGTTCCTAGTGGAAAAGTTTTCCCGTCTTGCCCTCCCAGGCTGTATTTTTGGCTGTTGGGCCATGTTAAAATGGGTTTCTGGAGTCTGCAGCCTCTTTTTGCAGCGATGCTGCTGCTCCTCCCTGCCGCTCAAGGCAGCGATCACCATGGTCAGAAGCAGAATGGCAGCCGAGCTTGAACGGCGGCGGCTGCGGGGTCCTTCATGCCCACCCTGGTCAGCTGCAGGGAACTGGGAGCTGTGGATGTGTCCCTGCTGCTGTTGGCTTTCCTGGGACTGCAGCCGAGGGCGGCTCGGGGCCATGAAACACCAGCAGAGCAGCGGCTGCAGTAGGAGGCAGCTAGTCGGGTCAGGTATCATGCTGGGGGGAAAAAAATAGGTAAAAATACGTATACACTGGCATTCGGCTGGCCCCAGCGAGGGCATTCTCCAAACAGCATCACCGAGCCGAGGCACGCTATGATCTAAGTCTGTGAGCTCCTAGCATCCCTCCTAGGGTTTTGCTGAAATTCAGATTATTATTTTTTGTTGTTGTTTTTCCTGACAGAGGATTTACGAGAATACTTTTTTTTTTTTTCCACTCAACTTGTCCAACAATGTGGTAATAAAAAGGGTCTCGGCCAGGTTTTTGTACTGGGGTTGCCAAAACTCGAGCGTGATGTAGTAAATCGGCTCTGAGCTGGGAGTTCTGCTCGTTGTCACCCGAAGACGTCGCGGCTTTCGGTACCGCAGTCCTCTTGTCTGCACCGAAACTGGGAAGCCGAAGCAAAATACAGGTTTGATAAGAAGTAAAGTATCTCAAAGCCACAGGCCAAATAAAGAGCAGATCGACGTTCTGTGGAGGTTTCAGGCAAAAGCTGGGTAGCAAGGGGTTGGTCGGTACAGGCAGGGAAGTCCCCTCGGAAGCGTCGTCCCCAGCCCTCCCCGGGACAGCTCCTGCGGCAGCGCCTACGCGCCGGAGCAGAGCTGGGAGAGCCCCACCGGCAGTCGGCCGGTCTGGAACGAGGGGCACAGGGGGTCTCTGCGTTTATGCGTGCGATGGGTGGTTCTGCACCGAGGTTTCATCCTTGTCCCTGCGTGTTCTCCTGGCTCAGTGCTGGGCTTCTCCCCCAGCGCTGCTGGCAGCTCCCCGGCTCCAGGCGGCTGCACCGGGCGGCTGCAGGGGAGGCAGAAGGTGAAAGCAGCGATAGCCCCGCCAGGGCTGGCAACCAGACTTGACCACCACAGCACCCACCTTAGCATATAAATGGGGTTTTTTTGCTATAATTATTAATTGTGGATGTTCAGAACAACTTCCACGAGTCCAGAACACTTACGCGAGTAATGAGTTTGTGTCTGAGCTGATACATGTTACTATTATTATATGCAAGCAATGCTTGCTCCTTTTAATAATTAATTGAACACAACATTTCTGCGGCCTTTAGTCAGAGTTGGAGGTTCTCTGGCAAACAGTGGCACGCTTGGAGTTTGTCGGTTTAATTGTACTCTCAATTTATTCTATTTATGCGGACCTAGCAGCTAGTTTAATCACAAAAAAGAAATGCAAGCTGAAGTGGCTGCAGAGAAAGCCAGGCCTTGGCCCCAGAAGCCTTAGGAAGTCAGCATCAGGCAGCGTAACAAAAGCATCTTTTCTCAAGTCAGAGGGATTGCAAGGAAAAGCCTTTGAAGCCCCAGAAAACTACAGCACGTTGTGGCGGTATGTTAAGGATGGATTAGTAAAACTACTAACCAAAAGCAAAAGATGGCTGAGCTGTGTTTGTACCAGGTGCAGCATCGTAGCCGACTACGGAATGCGTTTCTCTAAGGCCCTGGACTCTTAAACTCACCTCTGCAAATGCTCCTTCAGATTAAAAAGTGCCGCTGTCCAAGCGAACGCTGGTGGAGATGCAGAGGATTCAGCGGCTCCTCTCTGTGTGTGGAAAGCAGCCTGTCCAAGAGAGCAGCTCGCCTGCTGATCTTGGAGGAGGGAAATTACAGTCAGAGAGAGAAAAACCATCTGAGACGCCCTAAACCAGATCTGAGGCCACTGGGCCGTGAGCGATGGCGTGGGGAGAGACGGGCACTCTGCAACCCTTCCCTGCCGCACGGCCCGTGCCACCGTGAGCGCAGGCTGCCCCTCGCCGCGTCGCTCCCTGGAGGATCTGCACTGCCGCCGGCGCGTGTGCTCGTAAGGTCAACAGGAAGGTGACGTTTCGGTACCGGTTTGATTTCTTCATTGCCTTTCACGTGCTCCGTCTCTGCTCTCCGTCACGGCCCCCCTCGGTTACTCCCGTGCCATCAGCCGCTCCTGTGGGCCCCCAGGGAAAACAAACACCCACGGTCAAAACAGGAAACCTGTAGACTGATGGAGCCTTGAAAATTTAACTCCCTGTAGTGTGTTTGCATGAGGTTCAGTGACGGCTGTGCCACAGCTAATGGGAATTTCTTCAGTTCTCTTTAGTTTAAAGATGATCCGCAGCCTTTGGAGTGTTTGCCAAACCCTTTTTTGATGCTCTCTGCTAACGCAGGTGCAATCGCTTTCCTTTTGAGCTTGCTTGCAAAGACCACAGCCAGAAACTGATGCTTCCCATTTTCTCTGAAGCATCATCGTGTTTTCCTTCAGAATTGTGTCTTAAAACTCATTTACCGATTATCTAGAGGTTCTTGCGACCATCTTTACCTGGGAAAAGCCGCTACATCGAGCCGCAGTGCATTAACTGAGCTGCAGAGCTGCTCCCGAGCGGTTCCAGTTCGGCACTGGAGCACCAGTACCAGGCAAAGCTAACAACTTCAAAACCGTTACAAGGATGTAAAACCAAGTTGGGGATTCCTTAGTTGTTGCTGAACGATGCTGTGGCACACAAAGAGAAGCTCAGTAAAAGACCCAGCAAGTTTCAGGTTTGCTTTTGTGCTAATGCCCCTTTTAGTCATTTCTGTAATGTCTATTTTATAAAGAAATTCTGTAGCCAAAACCAAAGCCTCTGCAGAGCAAAAAAACCAACCCACAAAATAAAAAACCAAGCTGCCAGCAAAGTAAACTTTGCTTTAAAAATCCAGTGCGATACTCTTTGAGGATCATTAAAACGATTTCCTAGTAGCCCCTAGCCACGCTTCCTACCTCGAGGAACTGTGCTGTCTTAAAGCAGGGTCTGCATCTACAAACAAGACACGCTTACAGCACAAACTCGTTTGAAAGGCTTCTTTGTATGTTAGTACCAAAATATTGTTAGCAGCAAAATATTGTCCGTGCAGTCCTGCCAATCTTTGGCAGAAGCAACGTTATTAAATGTAAATAAACTGTCACGTGCGTGTGAAGATCTCGCATGTGTGAAGGACTGGTTTTATAAAGGATTCAAGCGCGTTATCACTGCGCTCCGTTAATTTGCTCTGCACTTTTGCCATTTACCGCTATTGCACAACAACTATTTAGAAAAGAAAAAAAGAGCCTCCAGCTACCAAGAAGCAAACATGGAAAACTGTTCCCTACTTGGAAGGAAACCACCTTCAGCTCTTTATTACAGCTCCCTGGGCTGGGGAAAAAGGAGGAGAGAACGGGAGGAGATGGCAGAGTCACGGCAAGGCCCGGCAGCTCTCTTCTGTCATTCAGTTCAAGAGGTGGCCCTGGTAGGTGCGGTTCCTTGAATGTATCCCTGTAAAAGGAACATTTCTTCTTAAAAAAAAAAAATAGATGTTTGACTACGGTGGAGCTGCCGCTCAGTCTTTGCATGAGAGATGTTTTTCAAACTACTAACAAGGCTTCAGTTCTATTAAGAGTTGACAACGCTGCCGGTTTTACCCAGGAAATGATTTACAGCATTCCAAGAAGCCTATTATTTTAGCTTTGCTTAATCTTAAAACCAGGCTATGAATGTCAAGAACCACTGTGAAAGTGCTTTCAGAATTTAAAGCTGTCAAATAATTTATGGAAAGCCACCGTCTGAAGACTCACAAAATTTATTGACGTGAAAAAACAGACATCGGAGAAGTCGATTTCAAAATTTCTGAGTCGGATTGCTTAACACGGCTTATTTTCGGATGGATAAGGAAACGCTCTTGGGGCAAATCCACGCTGCTCGTAGGCTATGCCGGACAAGCGCTAGAGAAGGCCCGATTCTCCAGCAGCGCTACCTCTTTCCGTTGGCCTGCTGACTGCATCTCGCAACTGACTGTAGCAGAAAAGGAGACGGGATGGCATTTCCCTTTCCTCCTCGCTCTCCCTCCCCAGCCTATCCCTTCCTTCGTGTTTTCCTAGCGCCGCACGTGTTCGCACTCCCCAGCGAGCCTGACTGCGCGACCGCACAGAAGATGGCACTGCACTAAATCGAAGGACAAAGGAAATTCTTCTAACCCTTGATATGGCAAAGCAGCGATTTGAGACTTGTACTCTGGAGCCTTCTAATGATCATACAGGAGCGTAAGCCTGTAATAAATGCACCAGCTGAGAGTTGGGGGGTGTGTGTGTGTGTTGAAATCACAGCTTTTTCTCTTTAGGTATTTAGGAGAGAATTCACCAGCAGAAGGGCTGTGCATTCTGCTAGGCCTCGGAGGCCAAGCCCGGCAGAAGGCTTGGGCAGGGAACTTCACCCCTGCAACAGCAGCAGAAATCTGTCTTGCGTTTAATCCCAAATTTAGTTTCTAATGGAAACCCAGGGAGTGTGGCTCGTCACCTGACTTGCCAGGGAAGGACCACGTGCTCACACACGCAAAGAGAATTCAAAGCCCAGGGGCCATTTTTAATAGCTTTGGCACTCAGCAGGATTAACCTCGCAGCCTTGGCGTAGCATCCCACACAGGGTACAATTCAGCAGCTTTCTCTTCATGGCTCATATAAATCTGGTTTGTTTTAACTAGTAAGTCAGCTATAAAGCTACATAAAAACATCAAACAGGCCTACATCTAAAACGTTGAGCTTGGAATTAAGTACTCGCTTAACAACCACCAGCCACATGTAGAAAGATAACCGGTAGTAAATTTGTTTATTTAAACTCAAAAGAGGAAACAATAAAAATGTTAATTTGAAAAATGTAAACTAATTATTATTTCCTCTAACTGCATGCATTGCCTTCCAAACTTCTCTGAGAGAGAATAAATGAACAGTCAGACAAACCCACTCTAACCATTAGGTGTTGTGGAATGTGGTACTTACTACAATGATGCGGAGAATTCCTTTAACCAAAGAAAGCAACTAAAGCTAAATGGGGCTTTTCACAATAAACACTCATCACGGGGGGAGAGCACTCTTTTTAGGATTGCTCTGTTGCTTACAGCTACCGAAGAACTCAGTTGTCTTCATCCGAGGAGAGCCCTTCAATTTCATCTCTGTCCCCTCCAATTGCCATCCAGAACGCTTTGGCCACCTATCAAAGGCAAAAAAAAAAGATGGGAAAGGGAGAAAAATTCCCCGCAAATGACTGAAGATTTTGCATATACCATCCAAAAACCAGAAATGGAGCAGCAGTTAAATCTAGCAACCGTGTTTCTAGGTACAATGCTACTCCTCTCTGAAGTTAAGCATTTGAAGTTAATGAAGTTACATTTCAGCAACACAGAGGCAATGATTTAGAATTCACGGGAGGCAGATGTGATAGAAAACTTGTGCTAATTAAGGCATGATTAAATTTTCCTTGAGATCAAGGCTTTTGCATTGACTTAAGTGGAAGCTGGCTTGCATCCTCAGTGACTGCAGGGCCTTAATTTCAGAAATTCTGAAAGGGGAAAGCTTTTTCTGGTGTTTCAAAATTCCAGGTTTGTTATTCAGTTCTTGGGAGACACCAGTCAGTCTTCCCTCGGACTGTGCTGTTTGTTCTTACTGCTCTTAACATAGGAACTCTCCAAGAGAAGTAACTACAGCTTAAAAAGGAAAACCCCATTCTTAATAATTTCAATGCCAAATTCAAAACCTCACCTTTTCCGCATGTAGTTTTCTTTGTTCATGAGGCAACGTCGCAGCTTTATCTGTGAAAAAGGACATGACTTAAGTTGTGAACCTCCGGAGCGAGCAGGGAGAGAAGTGCCTACTGCAGCTGGTTTTAGGGGACTACCAAGAAACTAGTTTAAGATCATAAAAAAGGAATCTTATTTAGTAAGAGCAATTGCAATTCCCAAACACCAGAATGCTGATGCTTCTGAGCACACTGGATTTCATCTCAAACGTTTGTAGCTTTAAACTGCAGGATTGTAGACCCCCCAAAAAAAAAAGAAAAAGGTTTGTTTATAGAAATCTGTGTAGCATTAGTTCCCAGGGGACAAAATCGGTGTGATAGCAGTCAGCTGAGCAATATCTATTTCTTTCAAAGGGCAAATTAAAGAAATGATCAGCTACTTATAAAAAACCTCAGACAGGAGAATAGGAATTTGTACAATCTTCCCAATTCACTGCCTTTTCGTGTGATTTTTGAGTGCTGAGAATCAGTGACATAGCTCAGTACATCTCTCCCTGGTACATTACCTTTCATTTCTTTCAGCTTTGAAAACACCCTTTCAAAGTTCTCCAGGTCACCGTCTCTTGTGGTTAGGCTGGCTAACTCTTGAATGTCCATATCCAACATGGGATCTGAAATAAATGCATATAGGTTGGGTTAAGGTAAAGTATTCTGTTTTGTCAGCAGGTATGAAAGCCTTTCTGATAAAACCCAGTATTTTAACATGCGCAAATCGAATCTGCAAATTCCAACCCCATAGGAGGGAAAGAAACATTTAACTTCCTGATTGTTCATACAGACAACTCATGGCATCATTACAGTGGTAATTAATTTAGATACATTACATTGCAAGTGTTTTTTAGCTCATCCAATATTTAAGATTTCTTGGTCTGCCTAGGAACAGCCATGGAGTAAATTAAAGACTAATGAGACTACGCTTAGACCACAACTAACACCACCCAACCTTTAGAAGACACACAACCTGTAAGAAAGTCCCATCTCTTGGAATGGTGCGATTATTTACAGACCTGTAGCTTAAAACACCTGAGCTTCTTAAGACTGACCCAAGTAAAGCATGCTTCATTCACCTTCTGCTGGCTCAATCTGTAATGATTTTTCTCTGCAGCCATAAAGCATGAAACCTTATTCTTATAAAGATGTTTCTAGATATACACAATACACACACTACGCGCATCAGGAACTGTCACAAAATCAGATCCGAATGTTTCCAGTTGGTAATACTGCCGGGGCTCTGTCCTATCCAAACTTGGGCCCATTTTTTCAAGGAGGAGAACAGCTGAAGACTAAACAATTTGCCTCCGCTGGCTCTGCCGAGAGCCTTTGTTGAAAAAAAGGCAGTGGCTTTCTGGGACCACCCGAGCCAGGGGTGCTTGCTCCAACATATCTGCCAAGCAGAGAATGAGCTTACCCACAGTGTTGTCAATCTGTAGGTTGTTTGTGCTAGCTCCATCTTCGCTGTTGTCTAAATGGGATTCTTCCCTGTCTGATGATGATGGATTGGACTGTCAGGAAACAAACAGATACTAGAATATCCAACCATGAACCTAAAAAGCATCATCAGCAAATCAGGTGCTTCCTGTTTTGACTTCAAAAACTTACTCTTTATCTTAAACTGTTACTGCAAAACCCGTACCACATGTGTTATGAAAAGCCACTTTTGCAACACTGTACGTAGGTACTACATGAAGCTTTTCTGTGATAGGTTTGTTGGGTTTTAAGTAACACGATCAAGTGGTAGTTTTTGTTTTGCACAAAATAACTGCTCTTGGCTATTAATGAAAAACAACATCCTGAAAGGAGCTTTTAACAATCTTTCCTTGGCTCCACACAGTCAGTGTGATCAACACCCAACAGCTTTCTACACTGAGCACACAATCAGGCATCTCCAGGTAAAATGAGTTCTGTCTGAGGCAGTGTCCTGAAAACCAGCAAGCTCACAGCCATGAGGTGAGTGCTCCTAGGAACAACCATCTCAGGAGGACTTGTAAGAAAAATGCAGATAGTTTTTCAGACTTCAGAAATGTTTCCTTACATTCCAACAGGCTGCGAAGCATCCCTTGAGAAAGGAGGGAAAAAAAAAGGAAGCCTCCCCAGCCCCCCCCCGCCACCACACCACGTGTGACAATAGGAAAGAGCAACACAAGAAACAGTATGAGCAAAGAGGAAGAAATAGGAATTACTGTTTACTTCTGTATCTTGGTTCTCTTCTGACCCAAGGCTACAGTTCGCACCAGCTAACGTACTGAGAAGACCAAAGCCCTGGGTCCTGTCTAAAAACAAAACCAGCTGTTAGTTTGACAGAAAATGCAATATTATTACAAATAGTTGTAACTGACCAGATGGGGTAGAGAATATTTCAGGGAAGACACACACACACACACAGAGAGCACCCTGTAAAACTGTATCAGTGCACTATTTTAAGCAGAAACTTCTCACAATCCCTAAGCTGGTTTTAAAGTATACTAACGATATTTACTGCTAAATATTACCAACAGGGACTAGATGTGTCAGACACGAGAGATGTGAGCTCTTTTTTCTTATTATCGGAAGTCACTGCTCTGTTAGGATTTGGTCCAGCAAATGCCTTTTGATTCCAAACCAGGCAGTTTTCAAAATACAGAAGCAGCATTTGCTATTACAGGCATTCAGTGGACCAGGTTTCACTGTCCGTAGGAAGCAGTGCTAAGTTTGTGGTTAAATACAGGAAATGCAACAAGTGCTTTTGCTCATACGCACATTGTCTAAATAGGTTGAATCCTACAGTAACGGCAATTTTAAAATATCTCATTCAGATTTCATGGAAGGACCCAGCCATCAAATCCAATGTTTCTTCACACTGCAAGGTGCTTTGGCCTTTCCACACCTGCTAACCTACTGTGTGTCTCAAGGGTATTTTAAAATCCAACCTGAAAAAAAAAAAAGTTAATTCAAACCTAAAATTAAACTTTCATCTTTTTAATCTAAGGTTACAGAGGCAGTACAGTATTTTTAAATTAAACTAACTGCATTTTTTGAAACTTTATTTTTTTAAATAAAACTGTATGGATAATAGGTGATGCTATAGGTTGGGTTTTTTCTAAGCCATGTTTTCTGCTAGCCTTGCATTGAGTAGTAAGTATTTGCAGTTACACAGGGGACTTGGGAGATTTTCTGAAAATCTTAGTATTTAGTCAACTAAAAAAGAAGTAATATTATTGTACTACAAATAGCCAGGACACAATGACCTGTGCCAGAAGAAAGATTACTTTTTTTTTTTTTTAAAAAAAAAAAGTGTTTTAAATTAATATTACACTGACAACTAAGCTCTGGACTCAAATGTTATGACGCCATTTTTTTGCACTGTCAAAATTTACTTGCCGTTTATACAAAATTTCATTTTGAAGAGTTGGATGTGTAACTAAACCCATCAGCTATCGAGAAAACACGTAAACACATCTCCATTAGTGAAAGTATTACTAAGACCTCATTTCCTGTTTGATCATCCTCACTCTGTACTTAGGCTAACGCGTGTCCTGTCCCAGGCCTTTTTGCCCCTCGTGCTCCCCCACCTCCCAGCAGGTATTCGTTTCAACTGGCTCTGTTTTATACAGGGCTGCTGCTTTAACAGATCACTCGCCAAAGGTTTGGGAAGAAGTGATTCAGTCAAGCTGAATGAATCGCCTTAAAAATGTTCAACTGCAAGACGTGGGAAAGCCCATGCCGTCCGACAGCTAAATTAACAGGCAACTGAGTGATAAAAGATTGGGACTCGCAACCCAAACCAAAGTAGCTTCTCCAAGTTTCAGCAGGCTGAGCAAAGAGCTGTCTTTAGAGAAACTTGTAAAGATCAACATTTAGCCAATTTCTGAGTCATCTGAAGCTAGGTTGGACATTGCAGTCCAGAATGTACTTGAGAGAGAACATTCCCGTATCGACAGAGGGGGTGGATGAAGTGACCTTATCATGTACCTCTCATACCTGTTAAGAGTTCATCCTGTACAGAAAAATGACAGTGGCTCCATCCCCCCTCCTACCACATACACATAACCTCAGCCAGCATAATTACAAAATGTTGTCCTCATTAGAAAATACTGGAATCTACAGCAGGGATCTCTGAAAAGCAGCTATTTGTTTCTGGATCCGTGGTTAGGGAGGTGGTAGACGTAACACTTGGTTGCAGGCACACCCTTGAAAAAACCCTTCCTATAAACGCTTTTTATTGGATATAAAAATTATTTCAACTTCTGGGTGCAATTCAGGAAGTGGGTGATGCCTTACACAGTGTTCTTACAGCATCGAAGCCAAAAATTATCTCACACAACTTATTGTAATAATTGGGGGCTCCATTTTGCTGGCGTCTCTATGGTTTCACAGGTGTCACTCATCACTAGTTGCAGAGCTCTAGTACGCTGTGCTCTGGCTTTGACACTCATATACACTCATTTCATAGCAGAAAGTTTTCCGCTGTCTTTATCTACTATTCTTCCATAGTCTGTCTTTAGCTGGTTATCCCAACTTCCATGCAAAATTGGAATTAAAGGTCAAAATTAATGATTTGTTTAAATAACTAAGTTGAAATAGTTCCCCTAAATCAGGCTCATTCTTTGTAAAGACAGCCAGGCTAATTACTGGCCCCACCCTAGGTAACCAGCTTCAGCTGGGATCACTGAACACATTTAAGCGGGACAGTAGCCAAGCAGCCTCTTTCAGAGGGCAGTAAATTGTTTTTCTCCTTGCTGTCTAGGTCAACTAGCCTTGCTCTTGAAGGGACAGCTAAAGACAACAGCAGTGCACTCCCTGTGTGGGGGGAAGATGTTAACTGAAAACTACTCAAGCTCTTCTGCACAAGGGAAAGAAAACCACCTGAGTCCCAGACTGAAGAGAGCTCCAAGGCCTGGAGAACCAACAACTTTATACCATCTCCAAAAGGGAATTGCCCTCTGGAGACTCTCAGGTAAGACTGCTTGTTTTTCTTTTAGTAGAGACAATACTGCTTGATTTACGCACCAAACACCTGGTACTACTTGATGTAAAAATATTTATAATTCAACCATGCTATATTTAATACTTATTTTTATGAATTGGTGTGAGAATGAATGTATTTAACGGTTAGAGGAAAAAAACAGAAGGTCAAGAATTTTCTTAATAGGTAGGTGTGTGAAAAAACTACTTCACAACTTCAGAAGAACTGTGTTTGGGTTTAAGATAGAATACCTTAAAATAATATGGGTTTAATGCTTGTACTTGAAAAAAGTCATTCTTGCTCTGTCTGTAAGCTCAAATTCTCATACCAACAGATAGCTGAAGTAAGGCAGCTGTCTTTGTAACACTGGCTTTTTGGATGGCTGCACTTAGCAGCACTATAAGCCTTTACCACTACACAAATATCTTGTACTCCGTGAAAAATCTTCCCATGAAGTAGACTACATAGGTTTCTAAATGGCCAGCAGTTACAGGTAATTCAGTAAAAAAGCTCAAGTTTGATTTACATGGTGGCCATTTTCCAGGATCAGGAGGAAGTTGAAAACAATGATACATTACAGGTTGTAAAAAGGTTTATTTTAAGTAAAATGAGCTCAACGATTTCCCTTTGAAGTCATAGTCAAGCTGCAACAACTTCCAAATATAGCTCACTTCCTGAGGGGTTTGTAGTAACATGCATCAATGCTGTGTGGTTTCTATACCGTGGAGATAGAAAGTCTGGATTTTCAAGGAGTCTGACCTTTACAGCACACGGTAATGATGCATAGGAATTTCCCCCCACGATGAAGAACTGAACATGTGACTAAATTCTGTTCTTCTGTAATGTGGCATCTGTCAAATGCAGGAAATATGCTGTTAAGAAAACCATTTTAGCACTAGTGAGGTAACTTTACACCATCTCAAATGGCTACCTGTTTCTCTGCAATGGTTACACTATGTTAGAACCAACCTTAACCTCATTCTGATGTGGTGTGAGAAATATTCAAAAAGGCTACCTTAACAAAAAAATAAAAAAAGATTATTGGTTTAGTAGTTCTCATCCTAGTTCTACTGAGTTCCAGTAACCATCTTGCAGTTACAGGAACTGGCAGAACTCTCTCAGCACTTGAAATCATTACACGGTTAAAAGACATAGGAAGGAAGAAGCCACAACAGTGGAAAATTGTACATCAGGGAGCAGAAAAGACATTGGAAGGTTGTTAGTGGAATGAGACTTTGTGAAATAAGAAATGTAAGGCCAAGCACTCAATAGGAGTTCAATCTTCCTACATTTCCTGCAACAGCTTGTGTTATTAGAAAGGTAATTAAAGGAATGGAATAATAAATGGAAGTATCTACACTTGCAGTAACTCCAGGCTAGCCACAGCATTTCCTTTTCTAATGAGTCTAATCCTAAAGTGACTTTTCCAAAATTCTAACTCTACCTGATTATCAGTTATCTGCAGAAAATTATCTAGGCTTGTGTGTTCTTTTGCGCTGTTTTCAAAAAATTCTGTGGTTTTCATGTATTCAAGTGGGGTTTTCCATAGGGAAGACAGCAATGCACATAGTACATCCTTCAACAGACATCTGAAATCACTTCTTTGCCAAATCTCATTTCCGTACTTGTTATTCTCATCCCTGTTTCAAATATTTTTTCAAAAAACCGTAACAAATTTGGAATTTAACACTTACTACTTCTACACTAAACCACGTATCAGTTTTTAGACTGAGCTGATAATGACTAGCTATTTGCTGCTGGAGTTTTGTGGAATAAGGTTCCATTTTTCATTGACATTTAAAGAGTTAGTGGAATATTTAACTCAATTTATTGGTAGAGAGCAAGTCAAGGTACAGAAGCAATGGGACCAGATGCTGAAACAGGAAAAAAACCTCACCTGTTGCCTGTAAGTTTCTCTGTGCATCAAAGGACAATGAAAGCAATACCTGAAACCCTACTATTCCATGTAAAAGATTGAAGAGTGCTCTAATCCTCTTTGTACCGATGCAGTGGCAGTAGTAGCGCTGTAACTGCTTGGTTTAAACTTTGCTAAAAATACTAAGCCTTTTAGGCCTTGCATTGTCTAGAATTCATGTAAGAAGAACCTGTGTTACATACCGTTCTTCATGACCACGTTGGACCATACATTGGCATTCAAAGCTTGTACAATTCGTTTCACTCCAGTGGACTCTGGGAAATCATCTAAACCAAAAGACAAAGACATTGTACTCCTAACAGTTAGATCAAAACCCATTACATGCCTGTGAGTATGAAGGTGTGTGTCTGAATGCCTGTCCTATCTTCTCGCAATTGACATAAATTACTACTTTTGTTAGGAAACCGATTTCTTGCCTTTGCTTTGTGAGAGGCCAAACAACTCTGAATTAATGCCTCAGCTCTTGGTCTAGGCTTGTAGGTATTATGAACGGTGAGCTCTCAGCCTTTGTAGAGAGATCTAAATTCTGAGTGGGGGTTTATTAAATGTTTAGCACGAAGCCTACATTTTTAAATAATATATATGTAAATTTATTAGTAACAGACAATTTTTAAAAGGCTCCTTTTACCCCAAGATCTTTTAAAATGCTGTATGGCATAAAAATATATGCTAGATTTACTTTTCTTTCCTTTAGAAAGCAAAGAACTTCGGGCAACCATTTTAAAAAGGTGCAACGCTTGTTTAAAATTATCATTGTAAAGCTATCTCTAGAACATCTAATTCCAAATGTTCCGGTAATCCTGTGAATTACAGTAACTTGAAAAGTCTTTCAAAAGCATTATTTGGACTTCAACCTATTTACTGAATAGATCTGACACCACTTTGTATGAAGTCAGTTTTCCCATTTCCTCAGTTTAGTCAGCTTCCCATGTTTGTGCAGGTCTCACAAAGCAATAGGGGAAAAAAAAACCCAAGCCCTTTGGATACAAAAATGTGATTGCTTAAAAAAAATCAAACTCTTCTGGGATGACTCAAGGACAGGTGTAGTAATTGAAACTGCCTTTAAAAATTCATTTAAAGCTGTCTATCACCCCCTAGTTCAAATCTTTTGCCCTCTACAACACTGCTGTTTGGTTTTATGTCAGAGTCATGATCAAGTCTCAGTTCAGAGTTCTTGTTCTTACTGCACAACTGACTGACAGTGTAGTCATAGCAAGAGCTCCAGTTCATTTGTGATGAGCTGCCAGAAATTGTCATAATTTTTTAACAGATATTGGCCCAGTGCATTTATTGCATCCACTTTATCTTTTGGAAGTAATTCATACAACATGTTTACAGGGTAAATATGTTAGTCAGTAGAATACATTTCCTCCTGTGCACAAGTGAGTCACAGTGAATCAACTACCATTATTACAAATCCAGGAAAGCACATATATCTTAATAGTCCAAAGATTTAACATCCTGAGTTGTTACTATTCCCATTACTTATATTATTTAAATGGTAAATAGCTTTTTCTTTACAACAATTATTCAATAGAAAAAACCCTTGACTTAATGTTACTAGTATTTCCTTTTGAAGCACTTCATAAGAAAACTTCCGTCTAAGAGGTTTCCACTTCTGATTTTTCTGGTTTCTATAAATCAGAAATATGTGTATCCCTCCCTCCCTGATGACCAAAGTGCCAAAAAAAAAATAATACATTTTTAAAGACATGGCAGGAGGAGAAGGGGTGATCTTAGCTCCTCAAGATACAATTTTTATCTAGGCCTTTAAAGGGGGGAAGAGGTGGGACTTGAGTTCTAGCTTAGGCCTTTAGACTAAATCATTTTTGGTGACAGCTATGTACTTGGTGAACCCGAAATAGAGCAAATGTTAGTAACTAATTCCACTCAAGCCTGGAAATGGAGTCGGTTATCTCACTGTGGCTCTGTAGAGGTAAGATGTAAACACTTTTTTTTTTGTATCACTGAAATGAGGAGATAAGTCTGAGGCTGGTAAGGCTGTCAGGAAGTGCACAGTCACTTTTCAAGAGTGGAACATCACACATCACACTTCTGACTTTGCTTGATGGGTTTTTTCAAGTTATAAACATATGGTCAGCCAGTGATTTTGAAACTGGTTTATTTCCTGTGTAACAGTGCGTGCAATTCTAAAATGTTTTTAACAATCTCCCCTTCTCAGCCTATCATGTCACCATTTGAATAATGTCTGTCTTCTCTTGGTATGTACAGTAGTTTTAAGTATTTTTTTAAAAAAGACAAAGAATTTTCCTGCCCTTGTGCATCTCTCTGGTTCTTGTTTTTTAGATTTATTTCCAAAGTGGAATATAAATGCTCTTAATCTATCAATACTGTCCTAGGATTAGTGCCAGAAAAAGGAGCAGATATTATTTTTGTGTAGGTGCTACATAAACAGCAGCTGTATTTGGGAGGAGACAAATGGAATTTCTTGGAGGAAATAACCTCCTCCTCCTCCTGACCTTTTATAGCTGAGACTAAGCCTCACCAACTGGGAGCATTCCATGCTGTAATCATGTAGCACATAAATAAAGTTATGCCCCTTGCAATTGTTTAGAAGATGTTTTGGCATGCTTTTTCATTCTAAAAATTAAAACAGAAGTAGAAGTCCTACCATCTTCATCAGGCAGCTCCTCAGGGCTGAGTTCTACCAGCTCAAAGCCATGCTTGATGCACCACTCTTGAGCTTTCTGTCTGTTAACGCCTAAAGTTGGGAAACAAAAATGCATGCTAAACATACACACTTGAGACTAATATCAGCAGTTGAATCTTTAGCTATATTTTATTCCCTCAGTTGTTTGCTTATTCTGTATTGTATGTGGGAAAAGTGTACAGTAGCTGGCGTGGGTCCTCCATTCACTTTGAATTTGATTTCAAAAACTCCAGAGTTAAACAGACTCCTCCCTTGAATTGTTTTTTTTTTCAAGACCATAAAGTCCAATGGCTTTGCAGTGGGTACGCAAAGGGAAATGTAAGTGAAGTGAATGAAGACTTCTATTAACTCTAGGTTTGAATCTGATTAATTTACGGGGATGTATCTGCACCTTACAGCTTGCTGTTGTATTGCATATACTAATCTAGAACCAAAGCAAACACGCACATTTAATGTCCAAATGGTCAAGAAAGATGAATGTACTTTCCACTGCAGTTTAGCAACCAACAGTCGTCCTCATTCTTCACCAGAGAGGATGCGCAATCCAGTAATATGAATGCCTTTTTAGTTACCTTACAGTGCATCCTGGTATGCTAGGAATGAGATACACAGAGCTCATTTTAAGCAAGCTTGTGACATTCTGATTCAGTTTTAACCACAACTAGCTTAAGATGCTTCTGTTCCTGGTCACGATAGTGTTCTGGCTCTTCTCAATTAAATCTCAAGCCCAGTATCACACATTTTGAGAAACAATTGTGTTGATTTAACTGGAAAATAAATTGCTAGGCAAGGTTAACAACACCTAGGTTGGTTTGGAACTTCTTTGGATTTCATACCATTTTCAGATACTCTGTTACAAACCAGGATCATGACTTCTGGTAACCACTCTTCTGTCAGGGGAAGCCATTCAGAGACACTATCAAGTCCAGATTTCTAAAGGGGAAAAGAAAAAGCTCTTTGGAATACATCCTTAAATACTTCAGCTTTTAAACCAGTTTTAAATCATTAATAGTATTAAAACCAATGAAGTAAGGAAATATGCTAGGCTGCGTAACAAGTACGTTTAAGGCACTTGTGTTCTAGTTGGACAACTTGACTTGTATACAACTTCCTTCTGATTGTTGACTTGCCTTACAAATAAGTTACTCCTACTGCCCTGGACCTCCCTTTCATGTTTAATATTAATTATGCGATCCTAGTGCAGAACACTTTTACTTAGGCCAATCATGAGTATTTCATTTTAAGCGTATCTCGGGTTTAATGTGCAACTACTCCAACTTCTATACTAAAGTGGATGTTACGGCAGCTGGTGAACTATTCCTATTGCTCTAGTTTATTCTGAGACAGCCCTGTGGTGTCTGGTTAAAGGTATCTTTGCAGAGTGTATGCTATGCACTCTCCCCATCTGTGGTGAAAACCAGTTCTTCATTTAGAGTATTTTTTTTGTCTCTGAATTATTCTGGCTTTTGCTAAAGCACTGTTTTCACTGCTGCCAGCTTGGTAGAAACAATTGCAGGTAAAATGATAGTGCTGAGTCTTACATTTAGCTCCCTCATTCTTGGCTATCCTAAAGCAGCCTTTCTGAACTAGCATCAGCTAGGAGCGAAGTGGGCTGGAGGAGGATTTGCCTAACTTAGTGGCATATTTGCATCCTGAAAACCTCTCTTCCAGATGGAGTATAATAGTAAAAGGGAAGGAAACTGCCTCCATTGTTAGTAGGCATAATTTAACATCGATCTACTGATAATTAATAGAACAGCCTAAAAGGAATAGATGGCACAAGATGTAGGGAATATAATTTGTAGCTATCACTGTGATAAGGGAACTATATCATACAGATAAAGACATATAGTGAAGCAGAAGAGTCTTACAATTGTGCTGTCGAAGTACACGACAAATGCTTGCACAGATTCAGCAATATCTCCAGTAACAAGAAATGTGTTTGGTACTACACAGAGGTGAATATCTGCAGAATAATATTTATTATCTATTGTCCAGGGGTAGAAATTCACTCTTCCAGTTGTAGTTGCACCCGCAGTAAGGTCATCTCTTCCTGTGATACCTGTATAAAAGAAAATGAATATGACGGATGATAAAACCAGCATCAAGAAAATAATTTGTCTGGAGAAGCTTGGTTGAATGCCAATAGAGAGACATCTTTACTTACTATAATAAACAATATATATTTAAGATCTTTTAAAAAAATCAAACTCAGTATGTTACTCTGTCCTGGTTTATTATTTACCTTTCAAAAGAGTTTTTTCAAGAGTTTAGTTTCAAGAGAGGTTATTATCTGGCTTTCAAAATAAAATATGGTACAGAAGCTCTTCAGAAAGCAAGCCCTTTTTCCTGGAAATGTCTTTTAAAGCGCTAGCCTCAAACTCACTACCTGTAAACAGGATGTATGGAGAGAATACCTAGACTTTATTACAGCAGAAACAAACCTTGCATGTTTGTTCAGATGTAAAGAACCGTTTGACTGTGACTAAAACCTGAAGGTAACTAATGAGAAAATAAACCCAGGTACTACAATTCAGCTGTAGTTTCCATTAAATTCCATGTAGGTGTTCGACAATTAAAATCCAAGGCTGTGCTTTGATAATGTAATGTTAAACACTGCTCTTCATATGCTGATAGCAACCTTCACAGCGCATACTCCCATAGCATGACAGCCACCTGGTGGAGTTGAATTATAGTTAGTAGCAGAGCATGTCACCTATATACCTTGCTGGAAAGGGCAAAATACCTTGTTCAAGCTGGACAAACCTATGGGCACTTTAAAACACAGGTCAATTAGAT